ATAAGGTCATATGTGATGTGAAGCCGCAGCAAAGTAATTCGGACATTTTTAGAGGGGGTTAGAAAATGTTTCATGTAACCTTTCCTGGCCATCTTGAGGGATATGGCTACACTTTGTGGTTTTTTAAAAATGTTTTTAGCTTTCAAAAGATTGGAAATGAAACAGACCCCAAAATGTTGAGCTCCTTTAATTTCTTTGAAGTCTTTTTGCTCCATTTTACAATTGCCAGTCCTCCGCTCTCCCGGTCCAGCACCTCTTCATTGTTGTCTGAAGCTGGTACTTATAACCACTTAACTTTTTAAAAATGTGGAATACACCACGCTGCCTGTTAGACCGCTCAATTGTTATGGTATGATGGGTGATGACACTGCCGAGAGAGGGGTGGGGGTGTCAGTAGCCATCCCGTGTATAGGATTCCCGTTGTTGAGAGTCACTTTTGACAGTATTCTGCATCTGACGTGGGGGACCGTAACGTGTGGACCTGTGGTAGCCTGTTTATAGTCCGGGTAATGACGTGTACGACCCAAGAAGTAGGGGCGTGTCTTGGTGACCCATATAGCTAGTAACTTGTTTATGACGTCAAAGCAATAACCAAGAACATGTTAAGGGTGGCCCACATAACGAGGAACCAGAAACGGTTACGTCATCTGTCATGTGCAAGCGCAGGGAAGCAGACGACACTGAACATCATTTTCACCGTATGCAAAATGTTTATCACCGGTACTGCTGTCTCTTTTGACGTACTTTCGACAAGAAATTGATTCTCTGCATGTAACAACAAACTTTGAGATGTACAATTCACTCATTTAAGGGGCAATAAAAATTGTTTATTTTTCGCAGTTTTGAACCGGCGCTGAACCAACTCTTTCGGTTCTTGTTCGGTCGGAGCAATGACGTCACAGAGGCATGCCCAAATCGCGAAACGCTTAACCAATGACAAAACCTGACAGAAGATGATGGTTCAGGTCGCCAAAACACGCCCCAGCACGAGTGACTAAGACACAACACGAAAAAGCTTGGTCATTTGCACTTGTCCGTGCCCACACGCCGTGTGGGCAGCATATCTGCAGTGCCACATACACACCGTACTTAAGGAGACACGGGGTTTTGACTGACTGCACTCCGTCATTACTCCTGACCAATCCTTTACCGGTAGCTGAACGCAAATCCGGCAAAAATAATTAAAAGCCATTAGTGCAAGGCCATCCTGTTCGCACCGTAGGTGGTACGCGCACCGCTCCTCCGACCGATACGGGCGATTCACAACAGTGCACCTCCAAGCTGAGAGCTTGCTTGCAACACGTTGACCAATCACAGTGTACGAAATCTTTCGACCCAATGTGCGTTTGGAAAGGATTGACAGATTTCGCGCACTGTGATTGGTCAACGCGTTGCAAACTCTTAATTAAAATGCGCGCGCACTCGTTAAGACGTGCAAGAGATTAGACGATTTTGGCGTCCAAGACTTAGTCAATTTGTTCGTGCTCGTACGTAGGCGTATTCAATCTGATTGACACAGTACACACACAGGTGCGTATAAAGGCGCCTTTCAATGCGCGTCAACACTTGAGCCAAGCTTTGCATATCTGTCCAAATCGCTCCTGGGGCAATTTGGACGTCCGAACGCAACGTTACGCACACGTGTGCTCCTCAGGACTACAAATAAAATACAAACAAAAAAGCAGACGTCGTGGCTGAGACTGTGAGGTTGACTTTTTGTTTTACTGCAGAAGGAAAATGACTACCGGTAACGAAAATAATGACATCTTGCTTTGAACAATATTGCACAGAAAGTTTGGCTATTTTCCAGAAATGCGCATGCAGTGTGAGTATTTTGTTTGTCATCAATTTGTTGGACCGTGTGCAACTTAAGTTCAGGCCACAGAAAATAATTATCTACAGGATAACCTCCATCTACATAATTGGTTAAAAAGAAAGAAAATCTATATTTTTCGCTTCGTTTCATCCCTAAGTCAGAACATGTTCGTGTGTTCCTGAAACAAGAGTTGCTCTGCTTTATTTTCAGTGGTAAAAACGAACGCTGGATTAACGTAGCAAAGTTGCGGCTCGGGATGAGGGCACTGACTTTGATATTCTCGACCCCTGACCTGCCGCTGGTGAGCCCATACTGAGGTACAGATTGTACCTCAGTGTCGTTTGTATCTCGGGGGAGATTTGGACACGCTCCTCCGGGGAGTTCTCACTGAGCAGCCGCCTTTTCTTCACCTCTCCGTGCACCGTCGTCATCACGTCCAAGAGGTTCAGCTTCCGAGCAAACTTCTCCAGCATGTCGAAGAGGACGCCGACATAGAAGTGGTAGACGCTGTCAAGGGAATCGCTCTTGGCTGCCTTGGGGATGAGAGCAAAGGTGAGCAGGAAATCGTAGTCGTCGGGAATCAGGGTAGCGGTAGGGAGTTCCTTGCCGGCGTCACTCTCTCTTGGCGAAAGTTGTTTTCCCTTGGCATCGCTTTCCAGAACCTGAAGAAAGAAAAGCTTGGGCTTATCGGCCAGGGTGGGGCAGTTATCTCGGGTGAAGATGTCGGTCAGCTGCTGGACGTCCACTGCAATGCCGTCCGGACCGATGATCTTTCCTCCTCTAGCACCTCGGGAGAGGATGCACACGATGACGCAGTCGAAGTAGGAATGATCCTCCAGGCTCAGGAAGCGAAGGGCCGAGATGATGTCGAGGGACATCAGACCCCGCATGACGCGAACATTGAAGCCCAGCTTGATCAGGACACTTCGCAACCGGTCTGTTGGTTACGCAGAAACAATGATAGCTCAGTTATCAAGGTTACGCAGAGACAATGTAAGTCTAAGGATAAGATTAAATAATTCTAATTATCGTCTGTATGGTCGTGTAATGGGTCAGCTCACGAAACATGTGAAAGATCATTAAAATGTGAGACTCATTTTGTAATGTATAAAAATTATGAGGCACATGCATTTTTAATGGCTGCGTGCTCACCTGTGCTGTCCTCTCCTTTGGCATTTTCTCGTCCATCACTTTCTGACGATTGACTTGATGTTCTACCATTTAAACTCTCCCCAACTTCCAAGGTGCAGAAATTGTCAATGACGATGGCCACTCCTCTGGGCCTAGTCCTCATGCGGTAGCAAGGCCTCTCTCGGCCTCCGTCTAGGCCTGCCTCGGCCCTGAAGTGCACCATGCCTCTTTTCTCGGCTCTCTTGTTAACCTGGTCTTGATGGTCACCGAGTCCGGACACGCCTTTCTGACAGGCTTCGGTGAGTTGTTGAATCAGCGGGCAGCCTTGCCACTCAAAGACCTTGAGATTGGAAAGTTTGCCGGCTAGGAAGACAGGGAGGCAACGCAGAGGGTTGTTCCGCACCTGAAGCTCTTCGAGTCCGGTAAGCTCACATAGGGCGTGAGGTAGCCACTCTAGACGATTGTCGTTCAGCCAGAGCAGCTTCAAGCTCTTCATGTTGGCGATCTGACCGGGTAGGCTGGTGATCTGGTTGTTGTCGAGGAAGAGCCTCTCCAGGTTCTCCGCGAGAGAGCCACAACACAACACCGTGGGAAACTCGGCGAAGCGGTTATCCGAGAGGTCGATCCATCTCAGGTGGGTGAGCCTCCCAATGGCATTCGGAAGGCTTGACAGCAAGTTGCAGCTAAAGTAGAGCCGGACCAACTCGGTGAGCCGACAGACTACTTCCGGGCAAGACTGGAAGGCATTGTTTTCCAAGTACAGCCACTTGAGGTGGCTCAGCCTGGTCATGTCAGCCGGGAGGTCCCTCAGCTTGTTGACGTTCAGGTTCAACCACTGGAGCTCGCCCAAACTGAACAGATCTGGGGGGAGGTGCTGGAGGTTTCGATAGTTGAGATCGATGCGGAGGTCATACGCGTTGCCACGGTAGGGCGAGATTCCCAGGGCTTGCAAAGACCATTCCTGCCTCTCGACTCCAGCCATTAGGCCTACTGCAACTTCGCTAACTGTCGGCCGATTCAACAGTTTATTACGTCAATCATGACATAGTGTGGAACAACACTCTGTGAACGACAATGTAAACTGGAATTTGTCATATATCTTTATTTTTATGGGGTGCTATCGGTTTCACTGTGACAATAGGAGGCAGTGAAGTTCAAAGTTCTTGTTGTGTGGAATTAAATAACTGCATTTAGTTTTAAATCATGTCGGTTGTTATTCTAAAGTCATTGTTTACGTGACCAGAAAACAATTTATACTCATCCTACCAAATTGCTACAACATATTGCAGTGTGGGGAAGTATCCTGCCCCCTTCCTTTACTGTTAAATTTCGCTTTTTCAGATATGGGTTAACAAGTAAAAATAATGCAGCGATATCTAGACCTATGCATGCAGGCATAGCAATCTCATCTGCAGGGCGAATTCAGTGTAACAGGCAATGAACCTGTAAATCGGACAGGTGGTGCAGTACGTGGTTGTGAACCCGTGAGCCGAACGTTTTCGCATTTTATTGCAAAATTACTCTTCGCTGAAAAAGCTTCGATATGCTCAGCTGCTGAAACTTGTGTGTAGTGTTTGAGCTCTGTATGACCCCAAACATGGTATTCGAAGAGATGCCTTGGCCTATTTGCGTAAAGCATGGAGGAAGGCAAGCCATAACTCTCTTCCCTGGTATTGCATGTTACGCCTACTACGTCCATAGGGTATGGGGTAAAGATTGCTATTTTGACCAATAAATGCAGTCAGTACAATCAGATCAGAGTTTGATATTGGGTAGCAGTCAAACCTACATGAACTCGAACAATACAGCACTGACCGAAAACGTTCTTCACTGAGCGCAGCTACGTACCCCGGCAACCGCCGTAAATATTTACTTCTCGATATGATCATGGCGTACGGTGTACGTACAAAAGGTTAATAGGATGACCTTCATGTAGAAGGTAGCGCGAGCACCCAGCTGCGTTAGTATGTGAATGCTGCTTGCTTGATACGCTAGCAAGAGATGACTTGGTAACAGTAAATTAACACACCTCGTTACAGCTGAGAAGTAACAGCTACAGGTTGGAAAAATCATGCATCAGTAACTCGCTCATGTATTCACCGCACGACAACTGGTTCAGCCATCATTCCGGGGGAACCCCTGATAATGTGCATGATAGAGGTTCATTGGATGATGAGAGACCTGAGGCGAAAGATGGCGCTACTCTCGTGAAAGAAAGACTGCTTTGAATGTTGATTGTGGTCTGTCTACTTCACGAGGCGCGGACAGAGTTTGCCTTCAGTCAGTCGTACACCTGAAGTGCTTTGAGTATTGATTGTGTGTTTGCTGCACAATACGCGGACACAGTTTGCTTAATACAGCCATTTCAATAGAACGCGTTGGCCAACAGTGGGGCATTGTACAGAGAATAAAAGTTTCCAACAGTCCTTGACTGATTCACGAAAGTACCTGCCTAGAATTTAGCCACAGTAGGCTTAAGTGAGCTCGGCAGAAACTTTAGAATCCATGTATAGGACCTCAATGTACAGTTTATCTTTGGGCACATCTGCATCCCAATTGCAAGGAACACGGATCACAAAAAGTGCAAGAAATATTGGATTCTAGAGTACCAGAGCACGATACTAACGTATAATAATATTGAATTGGGCCCTACAAATCATTTTTGATTCCCTAGCTCCCAACGCAATCTCCATCACCTGATTCTTGCTCAGCTCAGAGAAGAGCAAGCCTTCACCAATATTTTACAGCAAATGTCGACATCATGAAGGAACTGCAGAATTCATCCGGAATAGTCCTTTCTGGGATGAAAATGCATTGACGTATCCAGGTCTTGGGTCAGAGGGATTTTTTTCTTTATAACAAATGTCAAATTCTCTCTTTTTTTGTCTTTTTCTTTTCTTTTCTTTTC